ACACTCAGATGTACGTCAAAGTACGGAAGAGCAGATTTTTCACTACTTACATTTCATTAGGACTTTAAAAAAGTCTGTTGAAAGAACTTTAAAAAAAAGTCCTATACTGCACAAATTGGTTTTCATACTTGTATTCTTTTGTGGTCTGCAACCTAGTTACCAGTGAAAGTCTGATCATGTGTGAAAGCCCTTTACACCAATAAGAAGAGGATTTCTGTCAGGCAGAGGTTGCGTGTGATGCTTTAGATGTCCATGGCTTATTTCACTTAATGTTATATGATAAATGTTCCTGATTTGTCCAAAGTGACTTAAAAAAGGAAGTTTACAAAGCAAGTGATTCTTTGTAAACAGGCAGTACGATTAAAAGTGCAGCAATACAAAGTTCCATATAGGGCAGAAACGTTCAACAGACACTCCAACCCCCTGAAATGGTGAAAGGATGATCTTTTTTTATGTATTTTTTTTTTGTAAAGAATGATGGAGGCTAACAAACATGTGTTGACAAATATAACACAGAAAATTTACTTGATGGTATAGTAGATAATTGTTTCCCCCTATGATTGTAATGCTGTGATGTGGCCGTTGAAGACCCGGCTCTCATTTAGCTATGGCTTGACCTTCCTCTTGGTGGAGGGGTGAGAGGGGGAGGCTCATGGGTAACTGGGGCATGAGACTGTTTCCCCTCTTAAGTGGAGCATTGTTACACTCAGATGTACGTCACAGTACGGAAGAGCAGATTTTTCACTACTTACATTCATTAGGACTTTAAAAAAGTCTGTTGAAAGAACTTTTAAAAAAAGTCCTATACTGCACAAATTGGTTTTCATACTTGTATTCTTTTGTGGTCTGCAACCTAGTTACCAGTGAAAGTCTGATCATGTGTGAAAGCCCTTTACACCAATAAGAAGAGGATTTCTGTCAGGCAGAGGTTGCGTGTGATGCTTTAGATGTCCATGGCTTATTTCACTTAATGTTATATGATAAATGTTCCTGATTTGTCCAAAGTGACTTAAAAAAGGAAGTTTACAAAGCAAGTGATTCTTTGTAAACAGGCAGTACGATTAAAAGTGCAGCAATACAAAGTTCCATATAGGGCAGAAACGTTCAACAGACACTCCAACCCCCTGAAATGGTGAAAGGATGATCTTTTTTTATGTATTTTTTTTTTGTAAAGAATGATGGAGGCTAACAAACATGTGTTGACAAATATAACACAGAAAATTTACTTGATGGTATAGTAGATAATTGTTTCCCCCTATGATTGTAATGCTGTGATGTGGCCGTTGAAGACCCGGCTCTCATTTAGCTATGGCTTGACCTTCCTCTTGGTGGAGGGGTGAGAGGGGGAGGCTCATGGGTAACTGGGGCATGAGACTGTTTCCCCTCTTAAGTGGAGCATTCACGCTGCCTCAATTACGGTTGCTATAGGACTGCCCTGAGAGTATGAAAGATGTTGGCTGGGGGAAATCATAGGGTAATGCAAAAATAGTGACCCAGAAGGGGTGAATTATTACTTGGCCCATAATTTGGGTCTTTTGCTTCAGCCTAAATTACTAACAAACTCAAGAAGCCTTACTTAGTAATGTTTGAACTGTTTTTTATGGTTGACATTTGAACAACTCAAGAATGAGACTTGAAATTGCTTTAGTTGTGTTAGGCGTGCTCTTGGCATTCACCCAAAATAGTATATGAAAATAGCTTTTAATGTTTTTAACTTAATGATGGTTAATTAAAGGTTCTGCCTCCTCCTTTCCCTGAAGACAGCATTAATAATTTTGCTGCACCTCCTTTTAATCTCTTTTCTTTTGAGCACGTGTTCTAGACATGTAAATCAGTGGCTCCCACACTAAACACAAACTTGTGTACCCATCCTCCCTGTAATTTACTGTCTGCTATAGCCTCTATTAAAAATGTCCAAAAAATTAATTGCTGAGATATCGCAGTACATAAGAAGATTGCAATAACAGTATTCACACACCATGATTGAATAAACAAATATAGTTCCCTATAACAATTATAGTTTTCCTATAGTTTATATATCTGTATTTATTTTCAATTTTTTAAAATCCTATTTTCCCATTTGCCACATGACAAAAATTTAAATATCATACATTATTGAAGACATTTAAAAGTATAATTTATAATAATGATAATTTAGGTTATTTCTGTTTTATGTTTTGCTTATTTATGTATTTTATAATAATAATAATAATTATTATTATTTTTTTTAATTAACATTTTGCCATGACATTGTACATGTCTGCAGTATTATTGGACAAAAGCCAAAATACCCAGAAGTGTGATGTAGGCATGTGTAGGAAATCCCTATTCACTCATGGTCTTTAAATTAATGGTATTAATTTAATATTCAAGGCCGCTGTCTGCTGTATGACACCATGCCATGTATGCTACTCATTTCTTGAACAAAATCAATCTAACTCAAGTGTTGATACCTACTGCTAAAATAGATGTTTTGTTCAAACCTTTGAAGGTCAGTAAGATTAAAAAAAAAAGAAAAAAAAAAAAGGTTTTGAAGTCTCATTTATTTTTCGGCATTTTATTCTAGTAAATAGAAAAATCATATAAGGAAATTAAGTTCAAAATTTTGGATAGATATTTCAGCACTGTTCAAAATTCAACAGTACTGTACTGATGCATTGATTGACAACAGAACATAAGACAGTTTACTCCTTTTTGTGTATATTTAACACCCTATACATGTGTAAAAAGCATGCTTGAACTGAAGCTCTGTCAAGTTCTTTGTCAAAATAAATAGTAGTCAAAGAGCACTTGCTGGGGGAAGTTATTTGTCTATAGTGATTATGCTGGATTAAATTTCTGGTCATGTGATCTATAAGTATCTAACATCAGCAGTGTAAAGCTTGCTTGGGTGTGTTCAGATGCCCTTTTGTGTTGTGCTAAAAAGCCTAGGATAGGACAGCTTTTGTCTATTATATGCAATGGGCCAGCATGCCATCATTGTATTATAGAGGGGATGTTGTGATTGACCAGAGAATGGGCGACATCTACACAGTTGAGTTACAGTACAGCTAACAGCGACTGTAGAGATTAGTAAAGAACAGAGATGATGGGGTGCCTCAGCTTCCAGATGGCAAAACTGCCTGCAACCCAAACTACACCATAAACACATTCTCACACACACAAGCTAAAGTCAAGTGTGTGGTTGTTCATGTATTTTGGCTGCAGTATGTTTTGTGGATGTGAATCGAAACTGCTGAACAGTAAGCCAAATCTTCTGACAGCTGATGAAACTTTTTTGTACTTCCCCTTCCATATTTATGATTGTTTTCTCAGACCAAACTGCTGAATGTTGAAGAATAAGAAAAAAGTCCAATCCTGTGTAGTATACTATTTTTTTATCATGACTGTGAACATGCTTACCAGTGGAAAGAGGGGAAATACATTGGCTGTGTTGTTATTTCTCTGAACTCCCCTTTGTAAATTAATTAAAATACAGAAAAAGACTGCATTCAGCACAGAACAGTCGAGAGTCTGGTTTATAGCTCCCTGGAGTACTTTGAAGAGATGACGCCAAGTAAGCTTGGCTCTGTGACTCTCTGGCTTCATATCCTGATATATTGCTTATTACTCCAGACTGGAGTGTGTGTGTGTGTGTGTGTGTGTGTGTGTGTGTGAGAAGAAGAAACAGTCTGAGAAATGGAAGAGTCATGCTCTCATGGTTACATTTTGAATCCCCCTCACAGAAATCTTACACTTTATTCCCAGTGTCTTCATTAGATGTTCATAGAGGCTTTTAAAGAGAGTTCCAATATTTTAAGAACAATTTCATATAAGATTACTTGGATGGATTGGTGTAAGTCAGTGGTTCTCAACTAGGTTTGCTTCAGGATCTTGATTTTGCATGATTGGAAATTAAGTGGCAACCCATCGCAGAATTGTTTATTGTAAGCAAAAATGTCTTTGGAATCAAACAATGAAATGTATTACTATTATGATGAATCACAATAAAGACACATTTTATCATTGTACATTATTTTCCTCCTCCATTTCAAAAGTTGATAAGCCTATATGATTAAGCCTTTTACCGCAAACCCCCACCACCTCTTTTTTTTTTTTTTTTTTGAAAACCGCTGGTATAAGTTATACTCATGAGATCTATTTCTCCAAAAAGAAAAAGTCTTCTGATGATTGTATTACTATCCTCAGGGATTGTAGGATGCTTGGCAGAGAAGATATTTATGAATAATATGTTCAGGGAATCTGACCAGAAAGGCATTTTAAATCTCTGACATCATAAAGTATTTCACAAAATCTCATTTAAAAATGTCCATGTGTAATGAGCTTCAAATGAATAAAATAAATAGAATATGTAGGTAATGTTGACAGTAATGTTACTTAATGCTTAATGAGCAGAGACCAACTGCCTATTTAATGACTCCCTCAAATAAGTCATGAGTCATATCGAACATATTTGCTTTGAGCTGTTATGCCTTTGCATGATTTTCTGACATGTGTCTTCCTTTTGACACAAAGAAACAAACACTGCAATATTTTGCTCAGAATTGCAGTTGAATTACATTGCGCATTGCTCTGGACGAGGATATACCTACGGTTCAAAAATTTTAGATTTTTAAAAAAAATTTTATTACTTTTACGTTAATACAAAAATTCGATTTCAAATAAATGCTGTTCTTTAAACTTTCTAGTCATCAAAAAATCCTGAAAAAAGCATCACTGGAACTTAACTGGAAAATATAAATATAATTTGTTAATTAAACTGAAACTAATCAACCGACCAGAATACCTAGAGTGAAAACTGAATCACAGCTGTGATTTATAGAACAGGTTTTTTTCCAGCGAGAGCTTACACATTATCACTTGCAGACTTGCAGAATAATGAAACTCTTTCATTATTGTTGTCATGTCTAAGACCTGCTCAGTGTCAGTTAGAAGTTGTCTCCATTGGTTTTCTTCTTCATGCCTCTTAGAGTTTTGATGAGATTTCCTCTCTTTTACAGAGCAGCAGTCATGGGGAAAGGATGTATTGCCGCCACCAAGTATTTCCTGTTCATGTTCAACCTCCTCTTCTTTGTAAGTGCACACACTCCTACACCTTTATTCTAAATCTCAGCAGGAACACTGCCCTTGAGCTCAGCGCATTAGCCATGACTCCATGTCTTTAGCCCTGGTCTTCAGGTCTACTATGAGCTAATGCAGGATGAAAGGGAGGTTACTATTGAGAACTAAAGTGAAAATGGAACCTTTTGAGAAGAATAGAAGTCTATAAGAAAATGTATTTATGTAAAAATAAGTTTCTGACCTCTGTGCTTGTAAAAAAAAAAATGCTGCTGTTTCAACTTATTTAACACAAAATGTATGTAAAAAAAATTGACTGCTCAAATTATACTATAGTACAATGTGGTCATGCAGTTGGCATTATTATCAAACTACATTATTGGAACTAAAGAGAAACCAGTAAAATGCTGTTTTTGGGGTAAATTTTTTTATTTATTTATTTTTTTTTACAATTATTTATTTAGAAGTGTTTGTAATAATATAACTGTATTTATGCATATGTAACAAGTAGCTCAATAGTGAGTATGAGCTATCGAGGCTTTTAGAACCAAAGGTTAAATATTCACTTAATAATATGAGTTGAAACTCCATATACATATATTTTTTTAAGTTCAGTCATTTATTTATTTACATGAATCTAATTTTCCTATTTACCACATTTCCAATTTGGGCATGGTCTGTGTGGACATGTAAATAAAAATCAAATGTATTAAAATACATTATTGAATTTAGTATAGTATATTGAAGACATTTAGTATAGTACAGTATATAAACATATACTAGATATAACATATGATGTAGGTGTATGTAGGAAATCCCTGTTAGGAAATTGTTCAAGTTTAGTAAGGAAGCAGGCCTGCTCTCTGTTGCATTTCTTTGGAAACCTTCAGTTTGACCTGTTGTGTCTTTGATATAAAGGGTCAAAGGCTAATGAAAAGCATCTGTGTGCCTCTCTCTGATTTTTTCCTTCTGAAGACCCTTTAATTGTACAGTAGCCTGGTGTTTTACTGCTTTCCTCTCCACAGTGGAATAGAGGACAAGCCACAGACGCCAGACTGATACAGGGGAACTGCCCCCTGACAAGAGGAAATGAAACTTCTCTGATCCAGTTAATTTAGAGGACACCTTGGACCCATTAGTTTTGAACTTTGGGCCTGGAGTGCATGAGAACTCAGTTCGGTGGAGAGTTCCTGTGTCTCTTTAGCAATTATCTAGAGTATGTTAATGGTAGCACAATTCTCTCATCCACAGTCCAGTCACAGTTTAAACTAAGATCAGCTCTGAGGAACCAAACGGGTCAAGAAGGTGACAAACATACATGCAACATGTCCTTTATGTTTGTTCATGCCTGTTTCTTTTGCCCTGTAGATTTTTGGAGCTGTAATCTTGGGCTTTGGACTATGGATCATGCTGGATAACCAGAAATTCATCACGGTTTTGCGTAAGTACAAAAACATCAACATAATTTCCTGTTCTGATGTATGTAATAAGAGTATGTCTTATTAAAACAGGTTACATCTCCAGGCTGCCAATGGTCAGAAATGGAAAGATCTATGATGGCAGCACAAATGTTTTCATGCTGGACAATCATAAATTGATACATCTCAATTATTTTTCTCGTAGTTTGCATCAGTACTTTAGGTCTTAAAAAATAAACTGAATTATATATATATATATATATAGTAACGGTGTTGAAGAATCACACGACAAGTAATCTCAATCAATACCCCGGAGGGTGGATTTATTGGTGTGGTGGGTGATAGGGAGAAAGGTCCAGGTAGGTGCTCCGGTGCCGTGAGTGCTCTCTTCCGTCTTCCCAGTGCAGAGGGTCCGTGCAGTGCTCCTGTGGGGCTGGTCGGTCACACGCTGCTGTCTGTGGGAAAAATGAGAGGGCGAGTTAGTGCTCAGTCTCATGGAGAAGTCTCCCAGATGGCAGGGCTTGCGTGGCTTATGTGGCCGCCGCCTTATAAGCTGCAGCTGTGACCGATCAGCCTGTGACGATGATGGCCAGGTGCTCCTCGCTTATTTCCAGGGCGACGCTGATGAAGCCTCGGGACGCTTTGGTGAGGTCCAACGTTGAGATATACCGGGCCCTTCCCAGCCGGTCCAACAGCTCATCCACCCGAGGCATGGGGTATCCGTCGAACTCGGAGACCTCGTTGAGGCGGCGGAAGTCATTGCAGAAGCGGAGGGTGTCGTCCGGTTTTGGGACCATCACGATTGGGCTGGACCACGGGCTGAGTGATGGTTCTATCACCCCCAACTTCAGCATTTGTTGGATTTCCTCCTCAATAGCTCGCCGACGAGCCTCAAACTTCGGCCTCCAAGCCCGGCCAGTGGAAACGGTCGCGGATCCGTTGGATGGTGTTCCCGGCTCCGAGATGCCCTGCCAAGGGATGCGAGTGGGCCAGCTCCAACACGGTCTCCGTCTTTGTGCGTGGCACCACCAGCAATAATTTTTCCTCCCCCCTTCGCTGCGCGACACAGTAGAGCAGGCCATTTTGCACGACGAAATGCGGGAGAGGGTGGGGACCAGGCTGAACCTCCTTGCCTTCGATGACCCGGACCTGGGTCCAGCCATGCTTCAGCCTGTCGTCCTCCCGTTGTTCCTTCCCAAATGAGCCCCCTCCCGTCACCTGTTGGAACACATCATAGAAGAGATCTCTGCTGGGATGCCGACTCGGCTGGAGAGCAGGAAGAGCTCCTGGGTAATGGCTTTGGCGGTGGCTTTTTGGAGGGGAACTGCTTCGGGGTACCGGGTGGCATAGTCGACAATCACCAGGATGTTCATGTCCCCGGGCAGACTTAGGCAACGGCCCCACAAGGTCCATCCCGATGCGCTCGAAGGGCACCTCGATGATGGGCAGCGGTATCAGCGGACTGGGGGGAGGCGTCCTGGGTGACGTCACTTGGGTCTGTGGGAAAAATGAGAGGGCGAGTTAGTGCTCAGTCTCATGGAGGAATCTCCTAGATGATAGGGCTTGCGTGGCTTATGTGGCCGCCGCCTGATGAGCTGCAGCTGTGACCGATCAGCCTGTGATGAGGATGGCCAGGTGTGCCTTGCTTGTTTCCAGGGCGACGCTGATGAAGCTTCGGGACGCTCGTCACAATATATATATATAAAACATTTATTTTTTAAACCCATTTTTGAGAGCGAATGTAGGTTAACCTGTACTATCTGAACAGAAATGAAACAGACCTGAAGTACTAATGCAAAACTATGAGAAAATTAATTGTGATGTATCAGGATGAAAACATTTGTGCTGCCATCATAAATCTTTGAAAAAAATAGAAAGAAATTATTATATAGTATGATTATTAGCAAACTACATTATTGGAACTAAAAAGACTTTAAAGTCTTTAAAGAAACCAGTAAAATGCTGTTTTACTGTAAAATGTTTTTTATTTATTTACAATTATTCATTTAGAAGTGTTTGTAATAAAATAACTGTATTTATGCATAATTAACAAGTGGCTTAATCAGTGAGTATGAGCTAGCTTGGCTTTTAGAATTGAAGGTGTTCACTTAATAATGGTTGAAAGTTGAAACTCATATATACATAATTAATTAATTTATGTATGCATGTATGTATGTAAAGACATTACAGACCAGAATAAGTTAACCGTTATCATTCAGTCAGGCAATATCTCGCTGGTTACATATTTTTCTGTTTACACTTGAGTTCATACTGGTGGGAATGCACAGTGAAAGCAGCTGATATTTGTGCACTTGGCGTGGGGAGTTTTCATTTTTTTGCCATTAACCAAGTTTTCCACAAACCCCCTCCTATGCTGCACTCTCTGTGTTTATATATGCACACATGCGCTCACACAGATGTTAAGTAAACCATCTGACGCTCATCGGAGAGGACTTAAACAGAGAGCGAAAGCAAAATAAGGGAAGAGAGAAATGTTAAATGAATGAGATACAAAAGCCAAACAGAGATTAACTGTACATGATTTGTGGAGAATCATACTCGTACCCATACTGCCTCTGTCTGGACAGCCAAAGCCATGAGACTCAGTGCTGAAAAAGAGTGGAACAGGAAAACGAGGGTGGAAAACTAGCGTAAATCCTCTTGATTTATTATTTAATGCTTTCCAAACTGTTCATCACCGATTTATCACTCGACTAATCTTTATGCCATTTTAAAGGGATAGTTGACCCACAAATGAAAATTCTCATAATTTACTCACCCTCCACCCTGTTCTCTGTGTGATTTTCTTCTGTGGAACATAAGTAAGGGATAATCGTTTACTTATATGGGAGAAAGAGCTGTATAATTAATGGGATAATGTACATTCGCGCTGATCACCCTTCTCAAGGTTTATTTTGCGATATATATTGAGTTGAGATATTTTATTAGCTCAAAACGCAAAACTTCCACAAACAAGTTCAAAAAGATGGACATTTAAGTGATAATGTAGTGTCAAATCACTTATTTTACAGCTTTTCACCACATAATTAATGACAGGGGCATGTAGGATTGATTTGAGAAGAAACTGTTTTAAAATCGTACCTGTTTGGTACAGTGTACAAAACAGTCCTTCTAGCAACAAGACAAACGCTTCAACAATATTACCGTAGGCCTGCTATTAATACTGAAGTCCTCTATTCACAACTGACCAATCAGAATCAAGCATTTCAGAGAGCCACATAATAAAAAACGATATTTGGAGAAATATAGTTTGATATAGTTTGGAGATATTAGTTTGGTTACTAATATTTTTCAAAATATATTCTTTTGTGTTCCGCATAAGAAAGAAGGTCATATAGATTTGGAATATCGTGAGGGCGAGTAAATTATTTATTTTATTTTATTTTATGAAGATTGGACAGCTATTACTTTAAGCTAAAGTCTCTTTCACACCATTGCTGAAGATGACTTGGTTTCAGAATTGAAGTCCAGTGTTTAAAAATAGACTTAAAACTTAAATATTTTCATAAGACCAAGCCACCAAACCAATTTACAGAATTCTGTAAAACCAGTTTTCTATATATAACACATGCTCGGTTAAATTACTGCAGGGGAATATTTATGTGAAGTTGACCAGCTCTAAAATTGTTTGCCAAGCTAGTCACACTGCAATTCTTTCCTCTCTCATCTCACCTCATATTTTACATCTGTCCTTTGTTTATATATTCCAGCGTCTCCAGATATCGCAGCGCTGGAGTCTCTGTTATCATGACCATTTTAGAAACGTTGTTTTTTTTTTCAGATTCAGCTGTTCCGCTGGAGATAGCAGGGAATATTTTAGGATATCCTCATACTTGGAGATCCTAAACTCTGCCCATGGCTTTTTGCTAACACAAGGTCCAATAGTCCCGTGCTTTACTCTGAGGGTCCTGTCATGGTCGCTCCCACGCTGTGCTGCACAAGGAGTTTGTTTGTTGACTTTGTTAGTCAGTAGGTTACGGCCCTGTTGAGCATGAAAATAACAGGTGTATTTTCTTCCCTTCCTCCCAGGTTGCTTTTTTATAGACTTCCACACAACTGCATGGCTATAAAATGAACTCTTAAGAATTTTCTCATTATCCAGATTGTTGTGATCTCATTGCTATTCTTTACATAAAAGTTTTACTTCCTTTTCAAATGGCACATTCATTTGTGTAATAGAGTTTACAGCTGAACACCCAGAACATGTTACAGCATGAGTCAATGTTTGGTTGTTTGGAGCCTCGGAGGCTGGTATGTTCAACCATGTGCCGGGTCCTAAAGTTGTTGTCACGCCCATGGACAGTCTTGTGTTTTGTTCCTCATGTTCTCTCCTTGACCCAGTTTCTCCCGTGTTTGTGTCCATATTTGGTTGTCCTGTTCCCGTTCCCGTTTGAGTTCCATTTGTTTCAGCTGTGTACTATTAATCTCCTCGTTTAGTTCCAGGTGTTCCCCATTTAGTTCCTGTATTTAAGCCCTGTGTTTTCCTGAGTCCTGCATTCAGTCGCAAATGTTTACCCCATGTGCTACGTGTGTGTTCCCTGTTATTTTGGTTTCATTAAAGAGTAGTGATGCAAAAAAAAATCTGTGCAACCCCCTCACTTTGAATGGGCATGCCGCCTCTGATAATAAGCATATTTCCAGTACGCGCCTCAGGCTTGCACAGTGTCGTCAACTCACTCATCAGAATCTTCGGTAAATCCTCGGAAAACTTCGCCACGGCTCATTCGGTTCTTGTTGAGTCCTCGGTAATCCTCGGCAAACTTCTAAAGTTCGATTCAGTTCGATTTGTGAACCGGCTCGACCGGTTACTTCCTGAGAACCGGCTCAAAAGAACGGTTCAAAGAACCGAACATCACTATTAAAGAGTATTTCTGTTCTGGATCTTCTTCGTCTCCGCGCTCCTTCGTCTCCTCACAGTAGTGCACTGTGACAGTTGTACGTTTAATTCAAGAAATAAATACTTGCTCTTCAATATTAATGACAAATAAAATATCTAATTCTTTGTTGTATTTACCTTTCATAGCATATAAATGGTGCTTGAATGGTCGCAAGCAAATGGTTTTGGCTGGTGGTATAAAATTGTATCCCTTTCCGAGATTATTTTTCCAGTAGAAACTGCTGCCGGGGCTGTTGGGACTGAATATTTGCATATGTAGATGAGTGTTTGTACCTTGAGAACATCGTAGCAACTACGGTATGAGCAAACACACAGTGCGGTTTGTGGAAATTTTAAATGTACCCTCAGACAGATGCTATGCTTTAGGCAGGAAGCATATGTTTAGAAACGTGACACAGAATTCTTGCTTGAGTTGAAAGGTAATCTACCGGCCATTTATTATTCTCAGTTTATAAAACAAAATAGTTGTCTGTCACAACCGTGATGTCACAGTTTTGCTTTTAAGGTCGTACCAGGGCAAAATAACCTCATAGTTTTGTGAATTCGTGCATGTTTTAGATTAATTTATTTACTGACAGACTAAGTATTGCAAGAAAGGCTGTGAATATTTTACTGTTAGGGCTGTCAATCAATAAGAAACATTATATGCTGATTAATTAATTAAAAAATGAATAAAAATGACATCTAGCATTTTTTTATTAATTTGTGATACTTTTTTCAGGATTCTTATTAAAAAGTTAAATAGAACAGCATTAATTCAGAATAGAAATCCTTTTAACAATATACACTACAATTCGAAAGTTTGGGGTCAGTACGTTTTTTTTTTTAGAAAAATTGTAATACTTTTATTCAGCAAGGATATGTTAAATTGATAAAAAGTGATAGTAAAGACTTGTATTGTTACAAAAGATTTCTATTTTGAATAAATGCTATTCTTTTTAAGTTTTTATTAATCAAAGAATTAAGCGTCCTTGGGGAATCCTGGAGTGTGACATAAGAGGGAAACTCCAGTATTACAACCACTGATCTATAATAGAGAACATATATATATATATATATAGATCAGTGATTACAACTCAGCGTCACACAAGCATGATATAAAGTTAAGGAAACTAAGCAACCGACATCAATATCTTAGATGTAATGTTAGTTCTGTATATCAGCGTCAGGGAAACAAGCAACAGCGAAGATGCTGAATCAAACGTAAACACAGTTTTTGAGTCTTAAAGTGCCTCTATTATGCCTTTTTGATGAACTGTTTTGAATTTTTATGCCTGTATGTGAACATAAATTATCTGCAAAGTTGTGAAGCCAACAGTGCACGATAAATAAAGTTATTGTCTATCAAAAAAAAGAGTCGGCTCGCAATCGCCTAAACGAGTCGTCAGGAATTCAAATCTTATTCTGTTACGGCTCTACGTCACGAAGTAACACATTTGCATAATGTCTGCCCACGTTCTATGTCGCCAACTTCAACTTGCCCACTCACAAACAGTAAAATTTCCATGTGGTTAACATCATGTCAAGAAGACGCTGTATCCTACGCTGTGAGAGTAAATTTGTTTTATCACATCTTATAACCTTTTCTATGTATTGACAAGTCTCCAGGGCTGTCATTACGTCATGGCAATGTTTCGGTTCCGACACGTGCTGTACGCGGTAGACCAATCACAAAGGACTGTGCCATCTGACCAATCACAGCAGTGAGGGCTCACGGAAAGGAGGGGTTTAGAGAGACTGATTCTTTGAACTGCTTCGCACGAGTCGTTTACGAATCATTTAGAAATGAGGTAAAATTAAATCTATTTTTTGAGAAAACTAACTTGTCGAATATTATACATCGTATTTTTAAACAAATTGAATATTTCGGAAGTGAACTCTGGAAGGTGAATATGAATTTTTAATTATGAAAATGTGTGTGAAATGTTTTGAATTGAAATATTGACAGCTTAAATTAAAAACTATGTTCAATTTCAGCCCCTAAAAATTTCAGCCCTGAAAATACAAGGCATAAAAATGCAAGCACTGTTAATGCAATGCATTATTTTTTCAGTTAGTGCAATTCAACGTGCTTTTTTGTTTCAAAGACATTTGTCATTATTTTACTTCCATAGTTTTGATCAGTCTGAAAGCCTTGGGAATACCATTATTAGACACATCAAAAAGTGACGTCTTCCTCTGCATACATCTGAAATTGAGCTGCAAAGCCTGAAGCAAGACTGATGTATAGCTGCAGAAGAGAAAGAAGTGAGCTCTGAAAATCTGTTATGTACCCTCCCCTTCCCTTCCAACCACCCTCTAAACCTCAGTTTCATTTTCAGCCTCTGCTCCTGCTGTTCTGAGTAGCACCACCCACCTCTGCTGCATGACAGCTTAAACTTTAAATTAAGGCTGTTTTTGCTAGTGAGGTTTTAATTGTTGTTTGTGTTGTTAGATCAAATATTAATCACCAAAGAGAACTGATCTTGATTAATTTTCAGCATCTAAACATTTGAAGTTTTTTTTTTTTTTACTTTTGCTATAAATGTGGCCTTGTCAGAGAGTGTGACTGTTGTTTTCTGACTTTGTCATTCATGCAGATGAGTCCACAACGCTGAAAGTTGGCACCTACATCTTGATTGGGATTGGATCTTTGTCCATGCTTATGGGCTTCCTGGGCTGCATCGGTGCCATTTATGAGGTCCGCTGCCTGCTTGGACTGGTAAGTGATTTATGGAGAGTTTTGTTTTTTAATTTGATTTAATAATTTAATTTTTATTTATTAATTTTTTTTATAGTGCATATTTATATATGTAATGCTGACTACATCAAAGCCAGTGCGTTTTGGGCTATTATAATTAAAATTTTTAATTTAATTGTATTCTATTCTATTTCATTTTATTTTATTTATAGTGCATGCATATATATTTAAATATAATATTACTACTGACTACATCAAAGCCAGCTCTTTTTAGTCTTTTTATTTTATTTAATTTTTAATTCTATGTCATTATTTTTAGTGTATAAATTATTATATAATACTTATACTATATAATACTTATATTATATAATACTACTGCTAACCACATCAAAGCCAGCTCGTTTTGGTCACTGGCCTATTATTTTAATTTGTATATTTATTTATATATAATTAACTGCTGACTACATCAAAGCCAGCTCATTCTGTTCTCTGGGCTATTAATAAAAATGATATTTCACTTCTAACCATATTCAGTCGAATTATATGACGATTTTTTTGGTCAGTATTTATAAAATAACAGTGTTAATAGCTTTAGGTTTGACACTTTTTTAGCAAAACTTCATTGAGCACTGGACCATTCACAGAAGATGTCAGGTATAGAGGTGCTGCTACACTGTGGTAATCACAGTCACAACAAGCCCAGAATTATGCGTGCCCAGAGCGTCTACTGAGGGAGCTTCAGAAAACTCTTCCTTCATTAGCATGATAAAGAGTTCGTTTGAAATGGCTGTCTGAGGTTACTGTACTTGTGGATTTACTAAGCTGGAGTGACAGGGATAAGCCAGTGAGATTTAGGGGATGTCTGTGCAAGAACTGGGGGCCATATTAGTACCCGTTAGATCACTGGATAAGCTTAGCGGTCAGCAAGGGTCTTTGTTAAACTGTTTGACCCATTTAGAAAATAAAGTTAACTAGCTGTCACTCTTTTCATGTGCTTTATGTAATCACGCAGTGTTGTAAGTTTGTTAATATATCCAATAAACAAGTGAACATGTTTGTCTGATCTCTAATGACTATAAGATATCAATGAAATTATATTTAAAACAAAACTATGACATAGGCTTTGAGGTTTTAGCTTTTGTTTGAGTGTCCAGTAATTGTGAACTGACTTTTCTGTTCTCTGTTTGCAGTACTTTACCTGTCTCCTCCTCATCCTCATTGCCCAGGTGACGGCTGCTGTCCTCATCTACTTCCAGCGAGACCTGGTAGGTGACCATACCTCTGAAAGTGTACAGCAGGCATATTCAAATGGCGGACCGCGAGACATAATAGCAACGGCAGCACGATTTTACCTTTTCTAAATAAAGTGAGCAGCGCTTCAAAACAACGGAGCGGTTCACACCACAAGCGCTCAGGGTCATTTATTGTAATGATCTTTCAGTGTTATATCCGCTAATATTTTTTATCTAGAGCTAAACCGGCTTTATTCAAGCCCTTACCGTGTGCGTTGCTTCTCGATAAAGACACTAAAGCACCATTAAAAGCTGCGGATGATACGGTTATTTTAAAAACAGAAGCAAAAATCGATACTTTTGCTAAAACACTGCAGAAAACAACAATGCTGCAAGTATAGTTATTTTTACCTATATGACTCTGACCCTTCAAACCAGGTTTGTGACAGGATATTTTCTTCATCCACATTTAGCATTATTAATCAGTATGTTAAGAGCATTTTAAAATAAACACGTAATTGTTAAAATTGGGGAAATTATTTGTAGCAAGGAAGGACAACATACATTTTTTATTCTGCTCATGATGAGAGCTTTTGGATTGTTTGTTTTAAACAAAATATAAAAATGCTCCAGACTTCAATTTCTGAACCTTCTGAAAGTTCTGAACCTCCATTCAGTATCTTTTGTGTCACATGGCCTTCTCCCTTACATATGTATCTTAAAGGGGTCATATGATGCTATTTTAAAGATCATTATTTTGTGTATTTGGTGTAACAGAATATGTTGACATGCTTTAATGTAATAATAACAGCTTGATAAATCATCTGATCTTATCTTTTAATATTCATATCTAATTGGGCTCAACTGATGATTTTATATATATATATAAAATATTAGTTTTTTTAAACAGACAAAATTCTCAGAAGCCACTGTGGTTCTAAGGACCTAATATCCTGACTATTTTGGAGTGTTAAGTTTTTTCTTTTTCTTTTTCAAAGCATTACTGATGCCCAAATTGAAATTATAGTAGTATAGTAATATAACATTATAGTTTTTATTTATATTTCAGAAAAATATTATTTTCATTTTTTCAAATTTTCAATTTATAATTTTATGTGCTGTTGTCATTTTAATTAGTTTTTAAATTTTTTTAGTATTCATTTATCTGTAAAAGACAAATATCCAGTCTATTCTGTATTCCTAAATGAGATCTGATAGTTATATTTAAAAATAAAAAAAGTTATATAATATTTTTTTTTATCTTAAAAAGATATTACCCTCTTAAAAGGATAGTTCACTCAAAATGAAAATGCGGTCATCATTTACTCGCCCTCAAGTTGTTCCAAACCTGTATAAATTCCTTTCTTGTGTTGAACAAAAAAGAAGATATTTTGAATAATGTGTGTAACCAAACAGTTTCTGGTCACCATCGATTTTCATAGTATTTTTTCCATACTAATGGAAATCAATGGAGACCAACAACTGAAGAAAGACCACGGGTTCGGAAAAACTTGAGGGTGTGTAAATGATGGCTATTTTAATTTTTTTGGGTGAACTATTACTTTAAATGGCTTCAGTATAGTTAGTTATTGTTTGTTAGCTGGTAGGGTAGCTAACAAACATAACAAAGCTAAAAAATAAATAAATGAATATAAAGCAGCTTTACTGTAGTAAAAACTGTAGTAATAGCTTGTAAGAACAGTGTAAAAGTAGTTTCCCTAACACTAGTCTGATCTGAAAACTTCTGATTTAGTTAATCTGGAACCACTTTTAATATGTAAAAATGTTGTACATTTCTCCTAAATGACCCATAAGTATGAATAGATGTTTTGATGGTAACGTGGTGTTTGCATATCACTTCTGTGTTTAAAAAGGATGTTTCTTGCAATGCCATTAAAAGCTTGCAGCACTTTTTCTAGTCAGCTGTTGTGACTATTCTGTAATCTCTTTACCTTTTGGTTTTAACCCATCGTGTTAGGTAGTAACAGGAAATGTGTCAGAGCAAGTTAACATGTGGCGACGGTGTAGGAACTGGTATTTTAAATTAAGTAGCTGATGGAAGATTTGAGCATTCACTGCTATATTCCACGACCACTTCCTAATTCATCAAAATGGAGGAAGTGCAACTCATTCACTTTCCGTTGCACAACATTCACCTTCCTGCACAAGATGATGAGTGTGGTATGACAAGATGTTTCCGTGAGTAACAAAAACAGGTGTCGTTTTTGATGTGGGTGATTGTGCTCCTCTTGCTCTGACTTAGGTGAAGCTTGTTGACAACTGCACCCTCTTTAGGAACAAAGTGGGAATACACAAACATTTCACACCTAAGATGATTAAAAAAACAACAGGGCCTGCACTTCATGTCATCTGCCTTTCTGTAGTGTTAGGAAGGATGTATACATCCTCTAATGCAGGAGTTTAACTCACTTGTGCTTAGTCAGCCTAGCTTAAATCAGTTTTAGTTAAGTAGCAGCCGGCCTATCCACAGCTATAAGCACATTCTTAAAGGGTTAGTTCACCCAAAAATGAAAATTAGCCCATAAATTACTCACCCTCAAGTCATCCTAGGTGTATATGACTTTCTTTTTTCCGACGAATCCAGTCGGAGTTATATTAAAAATGGTCTTGATCTTTCAAGCTGTTTAATGGCAGTCAGCAGGTGTTGCATGCATCCGTCCAAAAGCAGTTAAATAAAATGTGTCTCACATGGCTCCGGGGGGGGACCTCATACGTCATCCGCCCGGAACTGCTTCCGTGTACAACAGTGAGCGCAAGCTACATTAAAGTGATTATTACGTTTTGAATATGGATACTTTTCTTACAAAAACGCATCGATTCGCTACAGGAGGCCTTTGTTCACCCCCCGGAGCCGTGTGAGACACTTTTTTTTTAATGGATGGGCGCATTTTATTTAACTGCTTTTGGACGGATGCATGCAAAACCGGCTGAGTGGCATTAAACAGCTTGAAAGATCAAGACCATTTTTAATATAACTCTGACTGGATTCGTCTGAAAGAAGAAAGTCATATATACCTAGGATGACTTGAGGGTGAGTAATTTATGGGCTCATTTTCATTTTTGGGTGAACTGACCCTTTAATGCTCAACTTAACTTGCTGTGTTTAGTGTCTTTCTCTGTTTGCATTATTGGATATATACTTAGTATAGCGTGTCTAGCCCTGCAGAGCAGGTAATTTGAGTCTGTGCTAGGGCATGCTCTGTTTTCTCTGTATGCTTCACCACAGGGCATGCTGACTGCATTTCCAAGAACAGGGCGAGGTTCACAACAGTCTCTTACACCCTATGTGCATAAGCAGTGTTTTGCCATTTTAGTTGATCATTGCCGTAGCCCCCTCAGTGCAGTCTGTTCCACCACACCTCCTACACAGACATGAACTTTAAATAAGATGTTCACAAGATAATGTTCACTTGAACAGTGATTTGCTATTACAATGTTTTTGACACGGATGTATACATTTTTGAAATGTAAAGAATGGTTTTTAAACTGTTTGTGCTGGTTTTATCAGTTAGATGACAATCAGAAGGTCCAAAAATTAAGAGTTTTTTTTAATGCAGCAAGGATGTATTAAAATGATCAAAAGTGACAGTAAAATTTTTTATAATAAATTAATAATAAATGCTATCATTCTCAACTTTCTTTTCATCAACACATCTTGAAAAAATTATCCTTGTTTATTATTAAGCAGCAAAACTGTTTTCAACATCGATGACAATAATAGGAAATATTTCTTGAGCAGCAAATCAGCATATTAGAATGATTTCTGTTGGATCATGTAACACTGAAGACTACAGTAATGATGCTGAAAATTCAGCTTTTCCACCACAGGAATAAATTACGTATTAAAATATACAATAAGGTTTCATTTGTTAACATTAGATAATGCATTAGCTAACATGAACTAACAATGAGAAATATATTGTTACAGCATTTATTCATCTTTGTTAACGTTAGTATTTGTTCATAGTGCATTAACTAATGTTAAGAAATACAACTCTGGATTTTAATAATGTACTATTAAATGTTGAAAATAACGTGAACTAAAATGAACACATACCATAGAAGTATTTTTCATTGTTAGTTCTTGTTAACTAATATAGTAAACTAATGTTAACAAATGAAACCTTATTGTAAAGAGTTTCCAAAAAGTCTTGCCAAATCCAATCTTTTGAATGGTAGCATTTCCAATACATTTAATACGAATATTTGTTTGATTATTGAAATGAGTTATTTCCATGAGTTATTGAAAACAAGTTAAATTATAGCTAATAAAATATTTTTGCTTCAATTAATGTAATATAAAGGCAAACAAATTAAGCAAAAATATTTTGATGAATATTTATTTTGTTTCAAGCATTAAAGAATGTTGATTTTTGTTGAAATATCAGATAACTGTTAGTGTTATACAGTGAGTGTTATTCAGTTCACAAGATACGTCCTAACATGTCTCCATGTGCTTATTTTTAGCTGAAATATGAGATGTCCACTATTGTGAACAAAATTCTGGTGAACTACACTGGTCATAACAAGACATCTGAGCAAGCCTGGGACCACCTCCAGAGAACGGTGAGCTTTTCCTTCAGCTATTGTCTGCCATTTCCTCCCTCACTGACTTTTTCCATCATTCCCTCAGTCTCTTACAGTGAGCTTACAGTAATATCTGTTGCACATATTAGAGATGGCAGAAGATTAATTTCTAGGACTTTTCTCGTGGCTTTTTTTAATTTTCATTTAGGTTTTCTGCACCAGTGTGCCTAGATTTTTATGTTGTGGTTGTTGTTTATACTGTAATATAAAATTCTTTCCTGCTTTTTTTCCCACTTACAGATGAAGTGCTGTGGTTGGACTGGACCATCTAACTGGACGGAGAATGTGGTGATAAACAGTCAAAAGAACAATTCTCAGATTCTATACCCATGTTCCTGCAGAAATGAATCCATCAGTGGCACAGATATAAAAGAAACAGGCCTGTGTGAAGCTTTGTCCCCTGAATGGCCTGTCTTCACTATGGTACACACATACAGCTTTACTGCACAAACTGACATATCCAGCAGCATATTCCTATATAAAGGGATAGTTCACCCAAAAAAGAAAATTCTGTCATCATTTAATCACCCTCATGTCATTCAGAAACTGTATGAATGTTGCTATCCAAATAATTTTGGTGACCATTGATTTCCATTCCATGGACCGAAAAAAAAAAGTTCTCAGAATATCTTCTTTTATGCTCCTTTGAAGAAAGAAAATAATTTTTTGGTGAACTAACCCCTTAAACTTTCCTGATTCTGGTTTTAAACTCTTCAGCTTCATCCCTAGTAGCACTCACCATTCACACTAGTACTTCTCATTGCTAACTCATTCTCTCTCTAACCTGACGTTTGTGTTGCGTACTGCTAATGAGACTTTCTTCTCCATCTGTGCCACATTTTCTCCCTCCGTTCATTTGCTTTTAGTACAACATATGGATTTCCTTTGTGGACTGGATATCAGCTTTTCTCAGCCGGCTAACCATTCACTCCATGCCAGTATTTCTGAGTCCCCATTCAAGCAGTTGGCACTTTCATTAATAATGAATTGGATCATGAGTATGGCACAGGTGGTGCTTCTGCTCATTAGGTCTCAAATGTCAGGCAAAACTCAAGCGTGCCATTTTTTTATACCTTTATATTTGCATATTTGCCTATAAGCTGGACCATAGACCAGGCCACCTACATTTAAAGGGCAATTCTGAATTCTTTCTCATAATGCCATCACTTTAATTCATTTGGAAACTGTATTATATTTGTAGCATATACCCAGTCCTATTGTTCAAATAAGCTGCTGTAAATCAAAATGTTTCCTGTTAAACTAGACCACTGACTGTTCTGGACTTTCACTTTCTTTCCTTTAGCTGAGTTTGGCTTGTTCTGTTTGTCTCCTTCTGATGTTATCTTTGGACAGCTCTGTCTGTTCAGGATCATTTCCAAACCCTGCATATCTTTTTTCACTTTTTTCCCCCTATTTGTTCAGTTTTGTTTTTTTCTCTTTCTTTTTTAATTTCTCTCCATTCCCTGTGTCCAGGGTTGTATATCTAGTGTGGAGGACTGGCTCCTAAGGAACTGTGGAGTTATTCTGGGAGTCTGTGTTGGAATAGCAGTGATTGAGGTAAATCTAGAAAGCAAGCCATGTAAAATACATTACAAATTCAAGATTATTCCTTTCTAATATAATTTCTGTTATTTTGGCACTTTCTACAAATATGGCATACCTTCTTGTCCCCAACCTTTTTTTTT